TCCAAACTGTAATAAAACGTACCCCGTTTGTGTCAGGTGGCTCGTAAGCTGGTGATCTTGGAGGGGGATCTGGAGAGAGCCGAGGAGAGGGCTGAACTCGCTGAATGGTAAGACGAAGATGCGCAGTAAAACATAATTACAGCATGTGCACTTAGAAGTGTCGTTAACACTTTATTTGAAGTGCATAAGACTGACATGACACCGTCATAAACATGACATAACACCTGTCATGAACATAAAGAAGTCTTTATGAATGTTTACGACAGTTGTCATGAAGTGTCATTTGGTAAATAATGACACTTTTAATGCAAAGTTGCTCTAAAAGTTGCATTAAAAGTCTTTAAAAATGCCAACTTTGCATTAAATTATCATAATTTACAAAATCATGCAAAGTTGGCATTTTTAATGGATTTTTAATGCAACTTTTAGAGCAACTTTGCATGAAAAGTGTCATTATTTACCAAATGACACTTCATGACAGGTGTTATGTCATGTTTATGACAGTGTCATGTAAGTCTAATGCACACCCCATCAAATAAAGCGTTACCGAATGTCTTAATGTTGATGTTTTAGTTGTCTATTATAGCTAAGTGTGCTTCTGCTTTATTTATTTATTTATTTATTGTTTTTGTTCAGTAAAGCCGGTGATCTGGAGGAGGAGTTGAAAAATGTGACCAACAACCTGAAATCCTTAGAAGCCCAAGCGGAGAAGGTGAGAGTCGACAATGAAAACACCAGACACACATGTTCAAGTGACGAGTCTTCACTTTTGCACGCTAAAGTTTTACATGCAAACTAAAAATTCACACAACCAATTTTAGCTTGCAACGGATTGAAAAACGAGTTTTATCTGGAATCCGACAGAGCTGGCGTGAAACATCGCAGCACAAAGTATCAGTTTAGAAAGCCTGAATACATAAAAGAATCATTATAGTAAACAAATGGTCCGACTCTGAGAACATGGATCCTGTCATTTTGGCCACACTTGGCTCAGTAGATGGTAATTCAGACAAACTGCATTACATCACTAACGTGTTGCTTAATACCAGTTCTGTAGTTGCTTAGTATAACTATGTCCTCCTTTTTGTACAACCATGTGTTTTTCTGTTTCCTGTGGAGAGAAAACCCATAAAAGTCGTAATTTATATACAGTTAGACACCAAGACATTTTTCTTTGTGCTGTCAGTGCCTAGATGGAGGGACTTGTAAATGTATTCCCACTGCATTGAGCATCACTGTGATTTAAAGGAGTTTTATGTAATAACAAACAGAAAGTAGATTAAAGTGAATAATCTCCTTTGAGGTTTAGGGTTTATTGGCAAATAGGGCTGCAACTAATAATTATTTCAGTAATCTGTTGTCTTATCAATTATTCTGATGCTTAATTGGTTACAATTTTAATTGTTTAATAAAATTGCATTCTGTAATCTTTCCACAAATACCCATAAATGAAATCTAAACCATCCAACTGCATAAATAGAATCCACCCATGTTTCATTTGATGTTTTTATGCATGCAGCTAATCTGTGAAAGCCTCAGATTTATTTGAACATTAGAGAACAAACAGCATCGTGACGACCAAGGAAAGGCAGCAGTTAGGTCTGCTCATCTTAAAATGGATAAACCAAGGCACAGCTTTCTAAACTAGTCAGATATCCAAGCTGACAAGGAAGAGGAAAAAATGGCTTCAGTCAAAGAAGCGGCTAGTCGATCGTTTGTCACTCTGGAGGAGCTCCAGAGATTCAGAGCTCAGGTGGGAGAATCTGTAGACATCACGATAAATAGTTGTGCAATCTTCAAATCTGGGCTTTATTTAAGAGACATGAGGCAAAAGTCAGTGTTGGGGGGGAAAAAAAAAGAAAAGCTACAAGAAGTGAAAGTCATAGACGGAACAAAGAGGAAAGCAGCTCTGGTTGGATGAAACCAGAAATAAAACTTGATGGTCTAAAAATGAAGCAAAATAGTGTCAGCATAATGCTGTGAGGAGTCAATTTAGAGTGTAAAGCTGGATTGAAATGACTGTGCTTGGATTATTTCGTAATGAACAAGCAGAAATGTCAGCCTGCTGATGCGCAGAGCTGATCAACAACATCCACAGTTCAAAATCATGCCTATCGCATGAAATCCTAATGAATCGCATTGATGTGTGTGATTGTAACGAGACAAAGATTGTAGGTAAAGACACTGCAGGGCGTTTCTGCGAATGCCAGCTGCCCTTTTGTCTTCACTTTCCTCCCAAGGTCAGGCATGCAGTACGACAGCATGCCAGGTTAACCGCAGGCCTACTTCCCCTTTGCGTTGCAGTATATGTTATGCTTTTACGCAGTCGGGGCCCGTCATGGTTGACGGCACAGTCGTTTGTTCCCAGAACATACCAACGTATTTGCCTCCAAGGAACTTAACCTTTCTCCTGTCTAGTGAGCTGAAGAAGGAGGAATTAAAGTTCACACTCAGTTAATCTGCAGGTGAAAGCAAGTGGAGACATGTTTAGATTTCTGCCACTGAGTTTTCTGTTTTTCTGCCTTGACAGTACTCAGAAAAAGAGGACAAGTATGAGGAGGAGATCAAAGTTCTGACTGACAAACTGAAGGAGGTGAGATCCAGATGTTCCTCTCTGATTATACTGTCATCTCATATTTCCTCACCTCTTCGCATCCCTTAAGACTAAAACAATACACGCGTGTTTATTTTTGTGGCAGTTTATGAGTTCCTTTTTTATGGCTGAGTTATGTAAGGGAGACATTTTCTAACTGCAGAACACCCAGAAAAGAATGTGTAAAACTTTTCCAGTGGTGCATGCTGGATTACTTTGTCAAGGCTCGCTGACTTTGTGTGTGTGTGTGAACTCCATCCAGGCTGAAACCCGAGCAGAGTTTGCAGAGAGAACAGTGGCCAAACTGGAAAAGTCCATCGACGACCTGGAAGGTATGCAAGCATTACCAGTCTGCGTAACGTGTAGACGGATTCTGGTGTTCGCTGCTCAAGTTAATGCATTTTGAATACAAGCAGCTACAGTTTTGGTAGAAATCTTGACGGAGTGGAAACCTTTTTTTGGGGGGAAAAAAAAAAAAAAAATGATATGTCCAAAAGCTATAAAAACTGGCCACAAAATCTGCAGAGATCCTCTTTTCCGAGGCTGCAAAGAGGACAGTATGTGCTTTCATGTTTTGTAGGTCAGCATTATTTAGTTGATGAACCATAGGGAGCTCACTTTATAGCGTTATTGGAGCAGCTTTATGAGACACTCAGAGCAAGCTCGAACGCTCGCAGCTCACCCGGCAAAGAGGGCTGCTAGCCTAATTAGGCATGCATCATTCTTTTAATCCAATCATTCTACCTCTTTTGTAAAAACCTGACCTAATTTTTTTTTCTTCTTGTCTTCTCCATATTTTCTCTGCTCCTTCCTGCCTCCTCCTGTCTCTCATGCTGCTTTTGGCTTGTCTGTGTTTCTACTGTCCTTGCCACCTGTCTGTACTCGGCTGTGGACCTCTGTGACCTCCAGACGAGCTGTATGCTCAGAAGCTGAAGTACAAGGCCATTAGCGAGGAGCTGGACCATGCCCTCAATGACATGACGTCTCTTTAGGCGTCTTCTGCTCGCTCCGACTCTCCTCGGTCGCACTCTGTGTAGCTTTTTCCCTGCATATCATATGTGCCTTTTGCTCATCTTGCTTTGCTCAACTGTTTCATTAAAGTCTCTTTATTTCCTACTTTGCAGCATTTGTCTCTGTTCTTTGTTACGACTGTAAAATAAACTTCCCTCCCCCCCTTTTTTTTCTTTTGTCAGTAAAACCTCAAACATTTTTCATTGGGATTTCAGTGAAAGGACCGATCCAAAGTAGTGCGTAATTGTGAAGTGGAAACAAAATCATACGAAAAAATTTGAAAAAAATTTTTTAATGAAAAATATGGTGCCCATTTTGCATTCATCCCTTTAATTCATAAAAAGAGTCCACTTGTGTGTCTTTTAATCTCGGTATCAACACAGCTGTTCTGTGAAGGTCTCAGGGTTTCTCAGAAACACTGGTGAACAAAAAGCATCACGAAGACGAATGGGAGGGGGTGGGGCGGTCCTGATTCAACTTTTTCTCTTCGAGTACCGATATTACAGCTTTTAGTATAGGTCGATACCGATATTGACTCGATGTGATATCAGCATGGACCGTACATCCACACTTGATCAAGTGCTATTACTCAAACAGAGACAAATAGTCAACGACAGCCATGAGAACAACTGACCCATTTTTTATTAGCCAGTGGGTCTTCATGTAGAAATGCTGCACCAGAGTGCTTCTATCGGCGTGCACATATCGGAGATATTGGACGCAGGCTGATATGAACCAATACTGTTTTATTTTTTTATTTTTTTGGTTGATATCAATATCAGATAAGGACAAGCCTAATTGAAGAAACAGCCAATAGCCCAGGTAGAGAATTATGGAGAAGTTTGAAGCAGATTAGGTTATTAAAAAAAATATCTCAATCCATCATCCAAAAACAGATGTAGCGCAACTACAAACTGCCTGGCAGGGCAAGAAGAGCATTAATCAGACAGCCTGGTACCTTTGAATCTGCAGAAATCACCAGCTTGGGTGGGGAGAATATATCCTCGCATTACCTAAATTTGGATGAGTGTTGAGAGAAAAGTGTTATTGGAATACAAGCTAACGTTTGCAGTCATGTGTGGGAAGATACTTGCATAAGAAAAACACTTGTTTGGTGGAAAGCTAACGCCACACGTTGCCTTGATCACAACACCCCGACGGTGGCAGCATTATGCTGCTTTTCTAGATGGGAACTGGAAAGCTGGTCAGAGTTTGTGGAAATATGGACTAACTGTGCAAAACAATCCTTCAAGTTGGAGGCTGTGAAACGCTGAAGACTGGGGCCAGGCTCATAATCCAGCACAACAAACGACGCTAAGCATTCAGTCAGAGCTGCAGTGGAAACCATTTTTATGTATTTGAATGTGTCAATCAAAAACACTCTGCAAGGCCTTCACAATTATGCCCTACTTTACTAATTTGAAACCTGTAACCCGAAAATATGACGGCATTTAAGTGGTGTGGATACTTTTGGAACACACTCGTTCAAAAGTTTTTCTGATTTTATTATAACAAGGCATTTGGTTTCTGTTGTATTTAGCACATATGATAGTCATGTATACAAGGTGAGGCTTTCTGTTATATTTACTGCAATTTTAGTTTGAGTTAGTACAAATCGCAGCCCCCTGTAGACCTTTAGGACGCTTGGTTTAAGTAAAACACCGCTGCAGTCCTCTAATACAGCCATAATATATTCTAACAGTCAAGCAGCCACTTTATGCATGACAGGCACCGTGTTGTGGTTAAATTTTTGCATGTGACTCAGCTTAACCCGAGTACCTATTCAAAACATCAGTCCAGGAAAACGGTGCTCTGTGCAGACTGGGCTGCATCATTATCTGCTTTTTAGGAGCTCAACGTGTCACTTTTGTTCTCTTTCCAGAGAAATTATCACATGCCAAAGAGGAGAACCTGGGCATGCACCAAGTCCTGGACCAGACCCTGCAGGAGCTGAACAGCTTATAAACGCCTGGAGAGGAGAAGATGGAGAGGATGAGATCGTCATTAACATTCCATTAAAACGTTCGACTCCATTCCACATTTCGAGCTGTAAAATCGTCTCTCCCCACATAAAATGGGGAGGATTAACTTAATGCTTGTCCCTTGGTGTTATGTTTTTTTTTTTGTTGTTGTTGTTTTTTCCCTCCTCTTTCTCATTGCTTAATTTTTATTCCCACTTGAATTTGCAGGAATTTCTTTAGAAAAAGATTTTTGACCACTTATTTAGAAAGAGTTGTGATAAATTCACCCAGAGAAAATGGGTTTTTGATGGAAGTCCTACAGGTTGAATTGCTCAGGCAGATTGTTGCTGACATGTTTGTTTTTAGAAGGATGCAATTTAAGACATTTTACTAATCTGTGCCTGTCTGATCCGCATCCTCCTAAATCTGCTTGGGTTTTAATCTGCGTGGTCGCCTGGCTGATGGAAAGGTTTTCAGTAATAAACACACTATTAAGGCACAAGCTGCTCCTTCACTTTAATCTTATTTACAATTAATCAGAGTCCTGAACTTCAGAGCAGCTCTGACCAACTTGAGGACATTTTGGATATCTACAGTGCGCCAAACCTCTTTATAATTTGGGTATCATGAGAGCCGGAGCAAGGCTGCACTACCTTTCCTACCGTATCAGAACACTTGAGCGAGCTTTACCCCAAATCAGGAGCTCAGTCACGTCTCATCAACCATTGATAACTATTGTATATAGTAGGAGAATGTTAGGTATGTGACAAGTTATAATACTCTGAATATTTTTTTTGTTTGCTTTTATGCCACTTCTTTATTTTCCAAGGGAAATGCAAAGACCAAAGAACACATGACACAGACAATTAAATCTTTAAATGTTTTATTTTATTTTATTTTATTTTATTATTATTTTTTTTTTGTGATGGTCTCAGCTTATGTCAAGGCCTAGGAGGGGGCCTAAAAAATTGATTTGAGGCCCTTTTCTTTTTGTTTCATTTACCACCCCCTCCATGTTCAGCCCTCAATAAATGTTTTACAGAAGTTCTGATTCATTTGACTCCTTTTGCATTTTGAGGTTTTCTATGCTATAATTGCCTTCACACATTTTTCACTGAGCATAATGGAGTGTACAAGCGTGGTCCTCTGTTCGCGTCGTCATTAAAACCCACAAGAGGGTCAAATTACCCCGAAATTACAAGTTGCAGATAGTATAGAGGTGATGTCTCTATTAAGCCACACGGAGTGGCTCAGCTCTTTTCATGGTCCCTTCTGCTGCCTCCTAGTGGATGTCCTGGCAAATTGCATCTCAGGAACATTTCTTCCTGAAGGCACAACCTAAATGGAGAACAAAATAATGTTAACCCCCAGAGATTTAAAAAAACTGAACTGATGTGCCTTATTGTAAGGACCAGTTTGTGGCACACTGCACCCACCTGCTGTCAGTCTGCATTTCCCTCCTCGTGGCCTGCAGAGGATCACAGAGCAGCCGGGGCAGGCCACCACTGTGTGGGCATGGCTGAAGATGGTGGAGATCCTGTAGCAGCCTAATAACGTTGAAGAAGAATATTACTAATCTGTGAGATTTGTTGTGTGACAGACAGTGGGCTTTGGGGAGGTGGTTACCTATGCATTTGACATCCATGAAGTAGGAGTTGGGGTTCTGCACCAGCCTCTTCTTCTTGTGTTTCCTCCTCTCGTCTGCAAGACTGGGGTACAACAAGTCCTTTGCCAGCTGAAAAGTTCAGCAGAGCATTCCCAAATGATGGTCTTTACAACTGATTTAACATCCTGAGGTGAGATTTGTGGCAACTGAACAGGATCCCAAGATATTTGAAGTTTACTGCCCTCTACAGTCTGATGAATGAATTGCTAGTTGAAGCAAAGAAACATGTCCAGACAAGTTTCTAAACCTTTTGTAGCAGGCATAGGAACGACACATATGATATGACTGCATATCTTTGAAAAATAGCCTAATACAATACAAGCAAAAATCTTTAACTTATACTGTCACTTTACATCTGCCTGTCATCAAAATATGTTCATATATATTAATATTTATGCAGCGATATTCCATCAGTGAAAACTAAACTGTAAAACATATTAAAACTAGTAAGAAAACAGATAAAACTGGATACATATTTACTTACAGACATGATTATTGAAATCAGCCCAGATGTTTTGTCCAATACAGAAGAGAAGAGTTGAAGTGAGAGTAATCTGCTCTGTGATTCACCTGCTCCTTCACAACTCTGAGGTTTGGTGCTGAAGGAGGCTGAGCAGAGGCAGATCTGTCTGTGCAGGGGAGGGGCTATGGATGAACTATAATCTGGGTTGGTTAAAATCAAAACAATAAATGGAGATGCCAAAAGAACACTGCATAGGAGAATACTGTCATAATTGCCCAGTCCATATGTGTGTTGGGGACCTTACACAGACCCATTTGTGTATTTGGGGGTACAGGAGTCTGAGCTATGAGGGAGAGTTTTGAAGTCTATAGTCCTTGTATAACAAAAGCAATAGCCTCTTTTTTTTTTTTTTTTAGCTTTTTATGGTCTCCATCAATGCTGCTACTTGTCTCTGATGTTGACTGTGGTGTTTATGGGCAGGTTGTCAAGGTAACGTTGTGAAGAGATGTCTAATTTTAATGCCTACATTAGACTTTTACAGAAGTTGTGGTTCTGGTGGCATCTTCAAGTGATGACCTTCAGTATGCACTGCGCCCAATGAAAAGTTCATGTTTTTCAACCAGAAAAAAATGCTGCCATTGAGTCAGGGGTCTGTCTTTGCCTCAGGCAAGGGGGTTTAAATATTATTTGTTCTGTTATTTGTTTTGTCTTGTTCTAGGATGATGGTAGAATGGGGAGTGAGATGAATAGACACATGAAAAGTCAATTTAGAGCCATTCATGTTAGAGAGAAGGATACCTGGGGTTGTCTCCAGGTCCCATTTATCTCAGATGAGGTAGAAGAAAAATGGACAGCCTGCAAACACTTCTCCTGGACAGAAATATTGTCACGTTGTGGGTGTCTAATTTTTATGATTTATTAAATTCATTCTAAGTTCTGGGATTAAAAAAGTGTCAACATTTAACTTCAGCGACTTTTAAAAACAAGAACTAGATTAACAAGTTTGAAATTATTGTTGATTTTCTTGAATCCATAAAAAGTGAAAATTATGAATGCATTCTCAAATACATAACTGAGCCAGATATTATTAAAACACCATGCAAGCACATTTAGATTTAAGGTTATCTTTTTAAATAAAATTTTATCATAATGTATATTTTTTCCTAACTGGAAGATTTTTTTTTAAACATTTTAGATTCCCAAGCCAGAAAATACGATAATATATTATTTGGAGCTCATCACCAAATATAAATTATCATAATGGAATCAGCTGTAGTTGATCATATTCCCTAACAGGTGCTGATAGTCTGCTCAAGCTACTTTTAAAACCTTCACTGCCAATTACAGACTAATGGAAATGCATAGTCTTGATATTTTTTATGCTTTGGAATAAAAATACACACAATAAATTCAAGCTTGTTCAATTCTTGTTTTTATTTAATTTCTGCTATTGTAAAATCTTTCTGCACTTGGAAAAAAATATTATTAACAAATATTAACAAATAAGCATAAATATTTAGATTGTGTACTAAAATGCGATGACTTGTTTCATTACACTTCTTGAAGGTCAAATAACTAGTTTTACTAACATGTCTAGTAATTTCTCCAGTTCTTTTAAATACTTTTCTTCAGAAAGCCTTGAATGTTTGGTATTTGTATTATCACCAGTGAAGTCGTTGCTTCCTTTCTCTTTGAAAGAGAAACTAAATTTAGCCTGCTGCCTCTGACTTATTGTCACTGATCGTGTTGAATTGTCTCATTTCCGTCGCAACATCAGTCAACGCCATTTTTCACATCCTTCTGAGGAGAACGAGTTCTTAGTTAAACATATCAAATTTACTGTAGTTAAATCCGGTTGGCAACAGTCTCCAAAACGAGCACACCCACCGGGCGGCAGCAGGCTTCCTGAGCCACGACGACATCGCAGAGTGACAGTTGATTTGACCAACAGGACGCCCCGCAGCAGCAGCGACCTCTCCGTCTGCACAACGGGCGGGATATCCGCAGTAGTAAGCTAGCTAATAACATGGCGAAGACTTACGATTACTTGTTTAAACTACTTTTAATCGGTGATTCGGGAGTCGGGAAAACCTGTGTGCTTTTCAGATTTTCAGAAGATGCCTTCAACTCAACGTTTATCTCAACTATAGGTGAGTGGAGCTCACATCATTAACGCCTCAGCTGACTGAAAAGCGGCACCGGAGCTGCCCATCCCGTCATGCTAAGTTGGTGCTAACTTTTCTTGCTAGCATTCAGCGATTCAGGAAATGCCCAACCGGCTTGAGAGAGGGGTCTTTAGGAGACCTTCACTGATTTTTAACCTGACTTGAATGCTTTGTAAGCACGGATATCACTGATTTGTGTACATTTTGAGCCCGTTGTAGTTATTTTATAGGCTACACAGACGTTGACAGCTGAGGTAACGTGCTAAAAGGCTAAAGCAAGTTAGTTGGCAGTGTCATTTCCCTTCTGACCAGCTGGCCTGTACTTCGATCTGTTGTTGACAACGCAATAAAAAAAGTCTCCATTAATCTGACCATCACGAATATTTATCCAAAGATCACCCATGAAGGCCATTCGGTTTGGCTTATTTTACTGTGTTTTAACGAACGATTATTATCACACCAATAAGCATTAGCGCAACTTGTAAAATGTACCGTAATTAACCACAACGACCGGTTTCTATTTGTAATCCGGGTTAGCCACGCAGTTTGTGCAAACAAACGAATAGAGTTGCCTCTATAGGACAATAATTACATTTATTTGAATCAAAATTTGTTGTAGTGTTATTTTACTTGAATAAACTCTTTGGGTATTCCACCCAAAAAGAAAAGAAAATATAGTGATGCACTGATCAGGCTTTTTCTGATCAGTGATTATTTTTTTATTATTTTAATCAGCATTAGTTTTAAATTCTATATAAAATAAAGGAATTATAATAAAATACAAATGTATATACAATATATCCCTAACTAATAAACAATTACACCATAAATAGTACATATTGTGATTGACATAAAAGGCATATATTACCTTTCTAATGTAAAAGACACTTCTGAATCCAGTTGCAAGATGTCATGATATTTAATATCGTCACTCATTGGTGTCCATGTGTTGGACAAAGTATGCCAACTACAGATATGACTGTGGCACCTCATAGTTAGATCTATTGGTGGCTTTTTTGCCATGCCAGTACAATTAAAAGCCCTATGTTTAATAAAGGAGGTTGGGCAAGTCGACATAAAACCTTCGTAACAAAGAAACGCATTCAAAATTTCAAAATTATTAGAACTTAACCTTTTTTTAAGCGGCATCAGTCCCCACATGGATGAGTGGATGTAGCTGATTGATGGATGGACGTTTAAAATGCAGTAACTAAACGTTGTTTTTAAAGTGTGATGTTCCAAAAATGATACTTCAGTACTCTAATCTTGGGTTATTTCCTAAACAACATACACAGTTTTGTTGCTTCATGAAGACACTCAGGTTTTGTTTGATTTTCTTTGTCTTTTTTCTTTAGGTATTGACTTCAAAATCAGAACAATAGAATTAGATGGAAAGAAGATCAAACTACAGATATGGTGAGATGGACAAATGCTGAATATTTAATACTAGTTCTAGGTAGTTCCTAGTACATATTATCACCATAAGCTTATTTATTTATGTTTTATTGACAAAGTGGCTACTTACAGCAGCAGCTCTAACAAGTGTATAAACAAATGACAGTGAGAACCGTCTAATGCAATCTAATTTTGTAAGCCGCAGCAGTAAAAAAGGAAACTTTACCGAATTTTTTATTTTTTTTTTCATGCGTGTAGGGACACAGCGGGACAAGAGAGGTTCAGGACCATCACAACAGCCTACTACAGAGGAGCCATGGTAAGATGCGTTGTCATCTTTACTCATGATGCGTTGAAACTGAACAGGTGCAGCGACATTCATTTAGCTACTAGCGGTTAATCCTTTACCTTTTCAGAAACACGCCTCATGTTGTTCTTGTTTACGCTTTACACACCTCAAAATGAGGAGTGTTTTGTTCGTCTCTTGTTTAGTTCAGGCTTAGCTGCATGCCTGTGTCTTAATTTGATGAGTCAGATAAACATTACAGGAAATTATACTGGATCTAGCAAACAGATAAATAGGAAATGGAATCAGTTTTTACTTTTTTTTTTTTTTTTTTTTTTCCTAAATGTTTTTTTTCTGACTTCTCCAGGGCATCATGTTAGTGTATGACATTACCAACGAGAAGTCCTTTGACAACATCAAGAACTGGATAAGGAATATAGAAGAGGTAAACACTTGGATTCTTGGTGCCAATATTCTGCAAAGATTATAGTAGTGAAACATTTCACAACTGTAAGCACCTATTTACCTCACCATATTTTGTTTTTCCTGCAGCATGCCTCTTCAGACGTAGAGAGGATGGTCCTGGGGAATAAATGTGATGTCAATGACAAGCGACAAGTGTCCAAAGACAGAGGAGAGAAAGTAAGAATAGCTGGGATGTCATGGTGTCTTTTTTTTTTTTTCCCTTGCATCGTTTCTGACTTTTTTTCCTCTGAACCTGTTCAGCTGGCACTGGAGTACGGAATCAAGTTCATGGAAACGAGTGCAAAAGCGAACATCAATGTGGAGAATGTGAGTCCCTTCCTTTTCTTTCTATACTTTTATTACTCAGAAAACCAGTGAGAATAGCCCACATGTTACAGGATGGTGTGTGAGTGCTTCAACCTTTTGGGGCTACTTAGTTTTGCGACTATTGAAAAAGCAACAATCGGCTGCATTATCAGACTCTATGCTTATATGTTATCACCTGCAGATATAAAATAGCGTTAGCTTAATCTATAGAGAGGCGCTTCTTTAATTTCCCCACTGTCTGTGTTTAGGTGGGCATAGGACAGTAAATCAATAACAATATATATCACAATAGACACGTGATCAGTTTTGATAGATAATACATCCGGTAGTTTTCAGAAATTTCACTGAACTCCGATCTAGAACCGCACAGCATTCTGGGGGATTCAGGCAGAGGAATGGCTTTATCGGGAAGGCTAGAGGCATCAACTGACTCACTCTGGTTACCTAGCAACAACAACTTGCATCAGCAATTTAAAAGTTTCACTACCATGCCTCATAACTACTTAAAAATAAAAAGA